GTCATTCGATGATTTTCCCCCCTTAAAAAAAAAGGGTCAAACTGATATAAGCGGAGAGCTACTTTTATAACCTATGTAGTGATGGTACCTACTCATACCTGCTCCGAGTAAGAAGAGGTCTTTGGATAACTGTGAACACTTATAGACTGTTGGTGATAATGATAGTGATAAGATCCCCAAGACGTGGCTAGATAGAGAGGCACAATAATTGCACATACACAAAATATCACCCACTTTTGAACGGTTGTGTTCTGACCAGTAAATACGTCATTTAAATTAACATTTACGTCACAGACGGATTTAGCAGTAAGTACCTACATAGTTATGGAAATCAGCACTAATGTTAGAGGCGTGGGTTTTATGAGGACAGATAATTAGTGCAATTAAATTGACAAATATGTAGGTGGATCTTGACATAATTATAAAAGAATATAGTAGGTACCTACGTCTTAGAACAGTGACCAGTCATCGTATTCCATAAAAAGAGCTATAGACATCAGCAGCTTCCTCAAAATTTTCGCCATGCCGTCAGCATGAAGTCAAGCGTGAGCATTATGGCAGATCCTCCTTGGAGATACTCATGTTCAGCTTTTTCTAGTTTCATTGATAAGGTTCTCTACCATGCATGTGTCTACGTCTGTTCGTAACAAACTTCAGTCGAGTACTTTTATTAAACAAAGCTACTTACAACTTCCTTAATGGATCTTCATGAAGGTATACTATCCCTGAACTCCCTAACTACGTCACACGTGTCATTCGGTATCATAAAAGCTCGTCCGTGAAGATACAGGATGAGAAACATACAAAGATCATTTAAAAAACTAATCTTTGTTTTGAAAAGATTATTAAGATACAGTTTTCTAACTAAATGGTATGGTTAATGACTAGTTCTATTTTATTCTAATAAATATCACGAACGCTAAATAGTTATTTAACTCGTCGAGTACCGGTTTTGTAGACACAATTATAGAACAATAGGTTGCGGTCACCGGTGACCGCTTGGTGTTTGACAGTTTAAGGATATCTTTACTACACTCCTTCAGTTTGCTTTTCTCTGTTCTCAGCTAACTAAGAGCTTAGGGAGCTATACCAGAATCAAGGCATTTGACTATGATTGGAACGAGATATACATTTTAAAGATCACTATTTAACTAATCTTTGTATTTTTTGGCTGAACGATATTATTGTACTTTAAATTACATTTATTTTTTTTAGAACTTAAATAATTCTTCTTTCTAGAAGTTACCAAAACATCTTTGATAATCTCCCTGTATATGAAGATATTACGCGAGCCATCTGCGTACTAATAACATTGTAGTGCAATCTCCAAACTGTCTGTCAAGCGTGTTGATGACCGCATTTCCCATGGGACCGAGTTCCCGTCACTTCGTCACAACTATGAACAGACCCAAATACTTTCAGCTTTTACGAGTATTAAGGAGAGGCTAAGTATAAGTAACGCGTGCTCTATCAATTTGTTTATGTTGCCTTAGTTAAAAAATAGTCGTTGTAAAGAAATATGATTGATAAAAACAGTTGAATTTTAATCGGGCCATAGAGTCTAGAAGCACATGTTTCCAGTTCATTTTCATATTTTCTAATATTCTCAGTGTAAATTTCTTTCTTCGGTGCATACCTACCTGACCTTATTCTCAGTGTAAATTTCTTTCTTCGGTACATACCTTCAGTAGGAGGTATTATTGTCAGTAGACAATAAATACAAAAATAATTAGCAATTAGTCCACCCGTTCATGCGTGATGCCGTGACCAAGGGAAATAGGGATACTTTTCTAGGTTATTATGCGTTGCCAACCTACTTATTGTACCTATTTTTAACAAAAATATATAGGTATAATTATAACAAAATATTTAATTATATCTGAAAAGCTTTTTAAATACTTTCAAGGTTTGGACCTTGACATTCATTCATACATTCTTGGGAATGGAACGTCTTCCATAAGTAATGGCGGTTGTTAAATCAGACGTCTCAGCTAAACAAGATAGGTTGCCAATCAATAAGGATCTACCAGGCTAGTAGCATAATATGGAAGGTAATATGTTAGCTAAAATTGCTGAATAAGTATTGATAGATTAACAGACGATCAAAAAGTACACTCATTATTGACAAAAGCAATTCCACCACTTTTTACAATTCATGCAACCCTAATACCGTTGATTAATTACTGTGAGTGACGTCAGTCATGATACTCATGATATATGAAGTGTAATCTATGCAATATACTGGGGCTGGTATCAGTGAGTGCCACTTCAGTTATCAGGGCGTCATAGCTTTGATTTCAGCTTTATCTCGAGCACGTACACAACAAACTTTATTAAAGTGGAGTTTTTGGGAGCGAAATACTTAGTGACATATTGCGGTGTTATTGTGCAATTTTAAATTGACTACCTATGTGCATTAGACGGTTAATAATACCCACAAAAAGAGAACGGATAGAAATTCACTTTGACTCAAATACTGTACGGACTTTAAAAAACTATTCAACCGAATGCTTTAGAAAAAGAAGATACCTAACAGTTTCAAGTGATACTTCAATGAATAAGGTTCTTTTAAAATTCTTATTGGTTTGGATTGTTTTCATAGGGTAGTGGCATGTGCCTAAATTATGGTAATAACCTACATACAACATCACATCATAATATACACACATATGTACTATGAACATACCTGTAAATAATAAAGAAATCGTACTCAATTAGAATTGAGTACGAAAGATTAATAGACACTTATAAATGTTTCATGTCTGTCTACATAGAATAGTATCTAAAAATAGTATTTATTAGGCATCTAGAGGTACTTGGTATTTGAGACCCAAGTAAATTGTTCCAATGTAACTGGCTGGTAACCCATTTTTAGTAACGAAATCAAAATTACAAAAAGCCTTTAATTAAAATCAACAAACAGACCTCGGACGGGAGATTATTTCAAAATTAATTTTATAATTGTTTCACAGTGAAAATGTGTGTTTTTCACGAAAGGGATCCGAATGTTGAATTTGCCAACCTGCCTATTATATTTTTTCAATTTAAAATCCAGTGGCTACCTAATTAAACAATGTTTGGAAAATTCTGAAAATTACATAGGTACCTACTGGTTTTCGGACAACCGGCTTCCTCCTTGTAAAATTGAAAGTTTATCCTTAATTTTTACATAAGATAGATACAAATCTAATCATAAGTAGGGAAGGCCTATACTCCGCGTAGCAGCAGTGGGCTATCATCTACGGTCCGTTGATGATTCATGTCTTTTTGGAGGGGGAAAATCATCGAATGACTTTTCCCGCCTGGGTGAGCCAGAAGAGAGTGTCTGACTTTTACTGATCAAAAACCACCCCGTACCTACTCCTGCCCTTCCCTATTGGGCCCTATTGGGCCTCATCCGATTGCTCTTTGACGTACGCCGTACGCCTGGGTCTGGTTTTGGTCGGGCGGCGAGTGAATGATTCATGATTAGATGTATAATCAAGCATTTGTTGATACAGCAACTTTAACTCCGGCTCAAAGTGCAGGAGTAGGGACAGGGTGGTTTTTAGTCAGTAAGAGTCTGACACTCTCTCTCACCTCACCCGGGCGGGAGAAGTCATTCGATAATTTACTCGCCGTAAAAAAACGTTGCAAAGTTAATTTATCTTACAAGAATTCACATTCACTTTATCTATTCCTTAGCCATCTTCTAATTAACTAAAACAACAATGAACATATCTTCAAAGAGCTCCCATAACATTTTATGTACCCTCGTATAGGAGTATTTAACCATGCATCCTTACGACTTCTCGTTAGAATGGAAATCGTTACTAAATACAAGGAAAAAATTAGACTAAGTTGGATTGGATTTTAGATAATTGATTAAGAAGCGTAACAAATACACACTCACTACTCTTGCTACGTGATTCGTGGTATCCAGATTATTCAGCAATGGGAATAAGATAGGCATAAGTTGTTATTAAAAAAGATCTAGATACTTTTTTATGGGATAACCCTGTAAACGAGCAGACGGATCACATGATGGTAAGCAATCGGCGTCGCGTATAGATATCTGGAACATAAGAGGCGTTACAAGTGCTTTACCGGCCCTTGGAATTTTAAGGATTGTTGGGGAATCAGGGATTGAGGAGATTGAGGGCGGGGCGATAATTGGGCCTCCGGTAACCTCACTCACACGATGAAACACAACGCAAGCATTCTATTATTTAGTTAAGAGAGTATTTTAGTCCCTGTATATGACTGACTGACAAATTCATTCAAATATAAACCAAAATTAAATAACAATTAGGCAATCTAGAAATTTAGCAAAAAAAACTGTGTTGGGTATCATAAAAAAAAGAAAATTCACTGTGATTTATGATTGTAATGTTAGTATTGATCTATTTTTTTTTTCTTAAAAAATAAGTTTTTATGATGGAGTTCCTACGTGAAGGATCTCCATCATAAATACTTATTTTTCAAATGGACAAAGTAGTTTTGGAATAGGAAACAAGCGGGCAGACGGATCCCCTGATGGTAAGCGATCAGCGCCGTCCTTGGACACCCGCAACACCAGAGGAGTAACAAGTGCGTTGCCGGTCTTTTAAAAAGTATTAGTAGTACGCATTTCTTGTATGAAACCGATTGTGGCCTAAAATTATTATTTAATTTCCTTTTAGAACTATTCTTGCTTGTTTAGTGGACATGTAAAAGTACATACATAGTCCTAAATACAATGAAACAAAACTTTAAAAGCTTTCAAATTTAATCGTGAAGTCTCAAACGTCAAGTAACAAATCTCTTCCCACGCTGCTTATGCTTACGAATCAAATGATGTTTTAATCATAAGTTGGTACCCAATTAACTTAACACACAACTTTAAAAAAAATCCATGACGAATTTCATTTTCAATTGACTCTCAGATAATGAATTGCAGGAATACTTTTTAAAAATTATCAACAGTTGTTTAAACTAATGATAGCTTCATTAAACAACACAGACTAACTTAACAAACCTACCTTCCCTCCAAAAACGTATCCAAGCTCCAAAGCCACCAGCTGAGCTACTTCTTCTCCACCTTCCACTTCCACAGTCCACTCGTTAACAAACTCCCTCGCATGCTCCAAACCATTATGCACTCCTTGGTACCCATACTGCCCTGGTACCCAAAAACTGGGTTCATTATGGTACCACGACAAAACAGAGGTAAATAAACTGGCGATTAGAAGAGTTAAAAGCGTCATTTATTATTATGTTGTTATGTATTTATGAATATTGAGTGATGGGAGTTGGAGCGAGGTCGGTGTCCAAACAAGTACTAAAGGCCGGCAGACAACAAGAGAGGAAAAGTGTGATTTTTCCCAAGCGGCGCGCCTCCAACCGGCCGGTATACTCGACTGTTTTGTGCGACTGTGCTTTCGCGCGCTTTTGTCGTTATATATTTTTTTTCTATAGTACTAACGATATAACTTTCATCAATAAGTATATAATTAAGATATACTAGACCCAAAAGAGATAATTTAAAATTAAATAAAGGATTATGAATAAGGTAGTTTCCATTACACATAGGAATAAGTTTATTTTTATTTAAAAATACATGACTGTCATCACACTAGGACTTTCTCCTGGTTCATTTATGAACTAATATAATAAACATCGTAGCAGAATAAACAGTGCACACGAAGAAATGCTACACCATTGTGTCCTCTAAAATTGTAAATTAAAAAAAAATTGTCATACAAAATTAAAAATGTCATATGTTCACAAATCTATGTTTTCAGTCGATAATACCACGTTTCAGTTATTATTACAGTAGCCACTAAACACACAGCAGAGATAACTGGCATTGTGATATTTGCACTGTTTCTAGCTTCGATATTCATTTAATTAAATAGAGTATTGAGCGCGTTAGTCAATATTTTTAAACAAAAAATGTAGCAATCTGACAGGTTTTATTGATTAATCATAGTTCGTCGTTTTTTCTAACATAGGTAGATAAATTGCATTCAAGAGGATGGGCAGAAGCGTCTGAACATTATAAACTACGCTATCTCCCGCCTGCCAAACTTGAAGATTATAGCAAACCCTCCAACGTAGAGGGAGCTGATACTCCAGCTGTGTGATGGCAGTCATGGGATGTTGCTATTGATGTAAATACTAGGCGCATACAGGGTGTAAATAGACCGCTAACGAAAACGAAGACAGGTGACAATTCTGCTGATAACGAATCGAATACCACAAAAACAAACGACTTAATTTTATTATTACAGTTTTAATAAAAAAACTTAGAACTAAATTCTATACTTCGTACCGACGTTCAACTAAAGCAAGATCGTACTCAATATTTTAAAACTAGCTACTTCCATGCGGCTTCACCCGCCCTGCTCGGTGCCTATTGATATTAACTTGATGTGTTGCAGCCTATAGCCTTCCTCGATAAACGGGTTATACAATACAAAAACAATTTTTCAAATCGGACCAGTTGTTCCTGAGATTAGCGCGTTCAAACATACAAACTCCTTAGCTTTATGTAGTAAAAAGTAAAAAAAGTATGAGATTGGGTAAACAGACAGGGTTATGTACTATATAATAATTTCAATTTTTAAATATTCAAGGCATCATACTTCGGTACTGAAACAAGATTGATTTAACGTCACAACAAAATTCATGTAACAGAAATAGCTGTCAACCGCTAAGACATCAATTATGGACATAACGAGGTTGCAAATGAAGTGTTTTTATGGGAGTAGGCAGTGAAACACTAATCCCTTGTCATTACTCCGAGGAGTGCGGCGGAGTGAGAGGACGATTTGTCCCACGCTACTGTTTCAATTGTGACGTCATGAGCCATTTATATACAGATAGATCAATAATGTCAATAAAGAACTGTGGGGGAACACCACTGCCTCACAGAAAAGCGACGTGAAACAACGCTCGAGTTGTGTTACCGGAGGTTGAGTGAGGTTACCAGAGGCCCGATTACCCCCTTCCCCCATCCTCAAATTCCTAATCCCCAAAAGGCTGGTAACGCACGTACGTACTGGTACGTAGTATTCCGGGTATCCATGAGCGACGCCGATTGCTTACCATCAGGTGTTCCGTCTGCTCGTTTACCGGCTTATCTCCTAAAAAAAGAATGCTGCTGAAAATCGGAAATCCCACTAATCTGCAATCGAAGTAGAACTCTTCGCAGAAAAAGAATAGAAATGTTTAGCAGTTATTCAACCCACAGTCAATTACACCATTTTTCCCCGATGGGGTAAGCTCCCTTAGGTTATGACACCTTAGTCATTGATTTGATTTATGTTTCGCAAGCCAAATCATTACCGACTAAGGATTATCATCATTTTATGCCTTCGTCCACGAGGCGGACAGGAAGATTTGAAATTGTGTTTCATTATTATTTATTTTGTTACGTTTATAAAAATGTATCCTTGCTCTTTAGTAACTAATATAGTTTATAAGAATAAACAATAATCGGAATAATCCTCATCAATCTTTTATAAATAAACACATTTACTTTATGGATTGCATGTTTGTCCTTCCTTGCTTTTAAACTTTTAAATCCATTTGAACGGCCTATCAATCAAATTAGAAAAATCAATACGGATAGGCTTGAAGTACCAGGGTATTATAAACAAATGGATATGTGTTTATTGCACAACCGGCAGTGTGTCAGTGGATCGATGGATCGTGGCCGTGAGGCGTCGACTGTCTGCGGCCGCGCACGTTACCGTAAACTAATGCTTTCAGATAAACTGTTGTGACCACGATTTTTTCGTGAATATTTTTAGTAAAAAGGAGATTTCTTTGTACCACCTTTACAGGAATTACTTATTAACTTTTGACTAATAATCTTTCTGAACCTGTTACAGAAATAATCCATCTAGTCTAGACTATACGACTAACTGCTGTACTATATCCAACGACCATCAATTGGTCTATAGATAATTCCATAACTTCCAAAAATGGTAGAACGTTGCATAAAAACATTAAATTTGAAAGTGCTCTTCAAGGAACCAGTTTGTTAAGTCCTAAAATAGACATTAAATTTAAAATTCTCGCATATTTAGCTACTTTAGACGTCTTCCCGTACTTAACTAAGTATTTTCATACGTTTAAACAAGTATCTAACTCAATACGCAAAAGATTTCCTACTAAATCTGAGTCCGATGGGCATACTGACAATAACTCAGGAATCGTCCGTGACGGCCAAAATACTTGTACGCGGTACATCCGCGTTATATCCACCCTACACGCACTGGAGGCTATTTCGGGACTATTACCAACTACTAGTACATCGGTGCTCAAACTTTGTTTCAAATAACACTTCCTTGTACCTTACAAATTCGCTGATATTACTGCGAATGACACAGTAAAGATTCAGGTAAATTGTAGCTAATGCAAAACCATTTTAAGCCGGCTCCGAATAAAAAAATAACAATTTTAAAATCGTTTAAATTAATATTGTATTGTATAGGACGTTCTCAGACAATCTTAATCATCTAATAACAGACCAAAACAAAATGCAAGCATTAACAAAATAACTGTTGCAAAAAATGCAATCCCCGGAGATCAGAACGTCTGGCAGCTATTTTAAAACTAGCTTCAACGTCACAACAGTTTATACTTGCATAGATAATATCTATTTTCAGCTTGACATTTTTTCACAAGTGAATAAATTAAAATGAACAATTCTGAAACATTTCAAAAGGGATTTTCTCAAAATAACTTTAACTTAATTTGTCACTGACTACAGAGATTAAATCTTCAGCATTCAGTACAATTTGTTAACCTGATAAGAACATATTATTTATTTTGTAGAGATACGTACTTCTCAGTTACTTAACTCTTCGGCTTCGTGTTATTAAGATATGCAAAACCATTACCTATATTCAGCCGAGTTGTGAATTAGTCAGCGAAAGAGAAAATTTCGTTGATGATGATAGCCAGTTATAGGAAGCTGCGTGTGCAGACATATTGTACAACTATAACTTTGGCTATCACTGCTCAAACGCATATCCGAAGCGCGCGCGCACCCGCAGTCGCGATGCGCGCGCCGCTCACACCCGCGGCCTGTGCCGCATTACTTCTGCTCTGGCCTGCCTCCCTGGTACTCTGCTATCAGGACGACAGAGGATACCAAGTAGAGGACGCTTATCACGACGATGTGTTAGACGTGTGAGTGATTTATGTGCTGCCAGTATTTCTGTGATCATCCCCATCTCCAGTGATCTTTGTGTTTTTTTTTTAAATTTTTTAATTATATCTGTCATACGTACGTATCGGTTGGTTAGCGGAAGTGATGCTCGTAAAATGGCTCCAAATAATTTTATTTCTGCGGGTGATAGTGTCTCTCATTAAGCCCTGTATCGTGTTTCGTCGCAACTTTAATTTGAGCATTAGTGAAACAACGAATAATTAATTAGTATTCGAGTCGCGAAGTTAATTATTACATTGCTCGCGGCCTACGTGGGACAAAAATTGCTTCGTCTTGGAGCAATAAAGCTCAGCCTACATTGAGTAATGTATTTACACTCCTTGACAGCTTCATTACGTATTTAAACGAATCAATAAAGAAAGTGTGGCCCTAATAGTTAAAGGAATGTTCATTTATTACTTCAATTAATTTATGAATCAGTTGCATCAAGTACTTTAAAAATCAAAGTGCGTGGGTTCAACGACTGCTAGTGAATGAAGTACGTTGCACTACTTGCACCATCATAATACAGCGAGTATTACAGGAGCGTTATTGCACGTGGTATAAATAGTCACTGTAAGAACCCATTGAAGTGTTCCTGGAAATCACACGGCGAAATAATTCTGTTTGCGAATGCATCTGCTGAGTGAGTGACCTCCACTCATGAGCCACCACAATCTACACCCCACGCACTCTTATCACTACAAGAGTCGAGCTTGCAACAAAAAATAATTAAAATAATGGCAAAAGTGCGAGTGTTATTTCACTGTATTTGAAGGATCAATGTTTATCTCCAGTATGTTATGTCAGCCTAGTCTATTTGCTAAGATTCCGGGCAATTAAGGTCACATGTAAACAGACTACTATCTGATGATCTAGATAGATAGGTATTTTACAAATTAATCACACAAATCTAATTCCCTAATTAAAAGCTTGAAAAACAGTTATTGCAATGAGTTACCCATTAGAGTTAGTAATTTATTTTTTGGTTTTTTAAAAGAGTGGAGCCGAATGAAGTTCGAATCTACATTTTGGAAAGAGCACCTAGCTTCACTGACGGACAAACTGGCAGACTATTATTTATTTTGTATTTGTTGACGTTTCAAAAGTA